ACTTTCACCTAGAAAAAAAGAATTTCTGCAATAATCAGCCTCTGATAAGAACTTTTTTCAACTGCCATGTATACATATAAACAGATGAAGTTATTTTAACTTAATGTGCATCTTATATTTCTGAAAGAAGCCATCACTCATCAGAACAAAATCAGATGTTGCACCTGATCGTTGTATTTTTAAATAAGGGATCTATTTATTTTACACTGAAGTCTGTAACCTTCAATTATATTACAAAAAATGATGTTCATTCGATTTTTATATCTGAACATATATGTTTTCATTGGTGCACGTGGTGACACTCCTTTCTGGTTGTCTATCATCTACCAACATAAGCGGTGGTCGAAAGAAAAAAAGATTAGTGTTGAGTATGAGTAGCTCAAGCAATAGTTTATAAATTTTTCCGTCTTGAAAGCCTTATTGATATAAAACTAATCGCTTCAAAGCGAAATAAAACAAAATTCATTATACTTCTGACGACATTTCAAGATAATATGAATATTGTTTAAAGTGTTTAATTTTTTTGCTAGTTTCCACTTGTCTTTTAAGATTGTTTTACAATTGTGCTCAAGTTTCTTAATTAACTTTAATAGATTATCTAGAGTATATATATAATTATTTTTTAGTTTGTTAAAACCACAAAAGAAACGATAACATTTTTGGATTCAACTACTTCTATCCCATGATGCACATGTGTCGTAACATGGCCAAGATACAAAAAACAAAACATGACCAAGAAGAACTGTTCATATAGAAGGGGCATAAAATTTAACGATTAAAAGGCAAAAAAGAACCATGAAAGATTTATTTGTGTGAAAAAATCTTTTTTTTTTAATATCTCGAATCAATATTGAATACATCTTTCTGAATTTTACCAAATATTTAATTCTTTTCAGCTACGTTTTAACCCTTTCAATACCGACATTTTCTTGCGTTCTGCACGAGCAAGAAAAAAAGATAATTTAATCTTTCTCTTGCGTTCAGCCGTCATAATCATATGTGTTCGAAATACAGATTCATTATTCATAGCCACATGAATTCATTTTCCTTTGAACATATCATATGATATTCGTCGCCTAAGAAGACGACAGAACGCAAAATATTTCTTTTCGTTCTATATCTCATCTACGAGATGTGATGCGGTAACGAAAGGGTTAACGATAGAATTTTTCTTTCAATTTCCATGAGACAAACGATAGTTAGACTCTATTCATGGCTTATACCTTCAGAATAAACTAATAACTTCTTTGAAATCGAGTAGAATTGTTCGTAAGAAAATTTATCTTGTCTTTTTGATAAGTTTGAGTCTTGACATAAATGTAGAAAAAAATCGGCAGAAAAACATATATTATAGAGAGTCAAAGGTTTTATCGATTTTTTCATCAAGTTGTAAAACAAAATAATCAAATAGAAAAGTTTTTGTGAGCCATTATATTTATTTTTTATAACAAGAAGAATTTCTTGATTCTTCAGCGATAGACAGCTTTCACTTTCTTTTCTCTGCCGTCTTCATCTTGTTTTGGCGCGAGCACGTCTTATACATTAGTAACTCTAAGTACTTTACGGACACCCTATATATATACTTCCACTAGCTAGTATTACAGTGCAGTTGTTATCGTTCATCCATCTGAACAACATCTCTTTTTCTCTCTCTCCCTTACTTATTATAAACCTTATTTTTTCCCACTTTTAGCAATAGTAACTTTTACTATTACCTTTCTCTGATGACCTTATCTCCTTCTTCCATTTGTCCCTGTCCATATTATTATTATTATTATGAATAAACTCTGAACTACCTATATCTCTACTATCATTCCTCAAACTACAAGTTATATTATTAAGGTAGGCAGTTTCCTTTACGTGAGAAATCACTAACCCTATATAGACCAAGGGTCTTAAATTATTATCTTTCTGCCTACGTGATCAGCGTGAGCAGAAGTGTATGATAGTAATAAATGAAGATCCTAACAGCGGTGATAAACATGTTCACCGCGGTTTATGAAAACGCGACTAACCGCGATATATTATACCGCGGTCACAATCATATTCACCGCGGTTGACCGCGGTTTTTCTCCAAAAACTTTTCCATGGGATGTCATTAAGTGCTGACTCCGATACCAACGTAACATCAACAACAGATGAAAAACATCATATTCTGCTGGTTTATATTGCTAAAGAGAACGGTGAATATGAAGGTGCTTATGTTGGACACAACTTGGAACTGATAGGTGAGGCTGCTGGCTCATCATTCCAGGGCATGATAGATAATGCCTACTGGTCACTTGAAACATTACTGGTGGAAGCAGAAAATAATGCTCCGATTAATATTAAAAATAATGATATTAAAGATGTCGTGGTATTTGATCATCTACAATGCAATAACCAAGAAGAACTCGACAAAATTTGTCAAACGAGCCCATGTCGCCACTTTTTTAACAACTGCATCGCAGTTACGCGTAGAGCCAATTCTGCGTCGCAGTTGCGCGTAACTGCGAAATTTTGATCGTAACCGCGCGTAATTGCGAATAAAATATCGCAGTTGCGCGCAGCTACGGTAAAAATTCGCAGTTACGCGTAGCTGCGCCGCAATTACGGGTCACAGTGCGATCGCAGTTACGCGTAACTGCGTCGTAATTCGATCGCATTCGAACACATGGGAATAATGGTAAATTAAATTATGAAGAAGCCAATCAAATTCTTCTTGAGTAAGATACTTTGATTTCTTTCATAAAACAATAATGTATTCTCTTTTTTATCTGTTTTCTAGTATGCGTCGTCAATTTTCATCTCAAAGTTAATTAATTTAATTGGAACTCACATTCACAAAACAATATCGATTTTTTTTTCTTATACATTTGCTCTGTAATGATGTATTTTTTTTTCTTATGCATTTGATATATAATAATGTTTTTTTTTTCTTGTATATTTGATATGTGATGTAATAAAGTATTAATTTATTTTCTCATGTACTCTCAATTGCATTCTTGTACATCATAAATCAATTTATTGTACTTTATTATTAATCTTTATTCTACTACAATAAAAAAAAATTTACTGAGTGACTAGTAATATTATGGCTGCAGGATTATTTATCTTAACGATAATAAGAAATATCTTATTTATTCTCTGCTTTATTAATCGATACAAAAACGAAATGAGGAGAATATAACAGAAGGTATTTTAATTTTCTTCAATATAACAAATGATGCAAAAGTCTTTGCACCAATGTCAATCTCTTAAATCACATTGGTCACTTCTAAATCAATTAAGTTTTTTTATTGGAAAGAGCAAAGTTTGAACTACAACTTTTGTACGAAAACGTATTTTTCCAGAACGAATGCGAGAAAGAGAAAGAGAAAAAGTCAAAAAACAAATGCTCCTAAAAACGTTCTTGCAATTTCACTATCGTGCAGCATCATTTTTTTTTTCTGTTAATTTTTTCGTATCAGAAGAGAAATGAAAAACGATGTTTAACGGTGATTTTTTGTAGCATAAAGAGTGCTCTTTTCAATGATGTATCGAAAGTTAAATTTATACTTGATTTTTATATCAAACTACAGCTTCTTCTGAAAGAACCTATACCATCCGATCGTTCGTTCCACCTGATTATTTTGGAGCGAGAAAAAATTATTTTTTGAAGTGTTGTTTATTCTAAGCTTTTATAAACTAACGCATGTCGAACAAACAATGGACATAGGATTCAGGTTATGCACGATTTCTGGAGGCGATGATTTATGTCCTTGCATATTGATAGTCCGTGCTAAAGACCTTATTTCATAAAAATTTCAATTCTCAAACAGTTTTGTTTAAAGAATGAAGAATCAACCTAAAAAGTTTTTACCAAAGCTGATATCAATAGAGTTTTTGATGCGCTACATTTTGGTGTAATTGTTTTGTTACAATTCAGACTATATAGCTAAAAAAGATTGGAAAATATAAGTTTTTCAAGTTGCAAAAATGTTACAAGAACGTTTTTCTAGGAGTATTTGGCTTTCGACTTTTTCCTCCTTCTCACATTCGTTCTGGAAAAATACGTCTCGTACAAAAGTTGTAGTTCAAACTTTGCTCTTTCCAATAAAAAAAATTTGGTTGGTTTAGAAGTGGACAATGTGGTTTAAGAGATTCTAACATTCATTTGTGCAAAGACTTTTGCATCGTTTGTTAATTTATAAAAAATTATTATTTTTTTTTATTTTTTTGTATATATCATTTTTGGACATTTACTGATTCAAATGTTGATATTTTCTATCGAAATAATGGTGATCTAGTTACTCATTATCATAATCTTTCATTGAATAATATATCAAAAGTAATTAGAAAATTTGGTCAATTTGATTGTGATAGTCCAGTTGAATTATTATATTCTGCATTTTGAGCTGTTAAAAGAATTGATTCGAAAATAGATTTTATTATTTCGTTTGGATCCTCCACCAATAATTAGGTTTTTATTATTAGAAAATAAAAAAAAATTCATGTTTAAATTGATTTTGACGATTATTATAATCTTATTTTTGTCTATCCAAGAATATTTTATTTGTTTTGGTATAAGTGTAAAGAAAAATAATTCATCAAAATCAAAATTTGTTCTATTATGACAATCAGACCAAAGACCAACACAAAAAGCACCAAATATCTATTTAAATAAATAAATAATATTTAAATATGCTTTAAATGAATAGAAAAATCGCAGAGAAAAAAAAATCATTTCTTCTTCCATTTTCGTAATACGAAATAAATATATCTTCTAATTAAATTCTTTTTTTCTCTCGTAATACTACTCAATACCTTTTTTTTTTATAATAGTTGAACAAAATTTACCTCGCCATTAGTAGTTTTCACTATTAATATTGAATATTCAAGGTCATCGATTTTATTTAATAATGTTTGTAAACGAAATCCATGTTCTTCAATAGTAAAAACTATAATAGATTGAGATAGACTAGGGCATGCTGGTAACCAATTCCATAATGTAATAAACTAGAAAATTAAAATCAAACTCAAAATTACTTTTTATTTTTTATTAACAAAGGAATTATCAGATACTTGTTGATCGAATATTGATTTTTTGGGTATTTGTGTAAGATGATGAGATGTAATTAATGATGATTGTTTATCATGAATCATTCCATTGGTATTATTTTGATTGATATCATCAATTAGTTATTGATGACGATTATCATGCGAAAGTTTCTCTTCATATTTAATTAATTGTTTAATTGTACGTCGTTTGAAATTTCGAATATGAAATGCAACCTGAAAGAGAAACTATTGTAAAAAAAAGAAACAAAACAAGGTCAGATTGACTTTATTATAAAACGAAAGTATATTCGGATGTGATCTAATTACAAAAAATCTACTTTAGATAAATATTTCCGAGAAGATTTTCTTAAACATGGAAAGACATATTTGATTAATTATCTTCATATATTTTCAGTTTTATTCACTTACTTACACGTAAAAGTCGATCAATTGTTACTGAAATTTGTTGATAAAAATCTCCAATATTCTCAATATTTACATTTGATTGATGTTTTATTCCTAAATAACAAAATAATATTAAATTATCAAAATGAAAATGAAGTCTATTTCCTCAATATTTATTTTCAAAACGTTAAAAAAAAAGAACCTTCGTTATTATTCATGTATTTTCAGTCAGTTAATTATGTCTTACAGATAATATTATACAACAGAGAGCGGGTGTGGGTGTGGGTGGGTGTGGGTGGGTGTGGGTGAGTGTGGGTGGGTGTGGGTGAGTGTGGGTGGGTGTAGGTGGGTGTGGGTGGGTGTGGGTGGGTGTAGGTGGGTGTGGGTGGGTGTGGGTGTGTGGGTGCGGGTGTGGGGTGTGGGCGTGGATAATCAAAGTACCAACACCCACACCCACACCCCACACCTTAGTCATAGATTCACCTATGAAAGAAAAAGTTACGCTTGATTATGAAGTAGTTATGTTTGTTCATTTTACATACTGCTCCACTATGAAAACCTTTCCTGTTAAATTCCATCTACTTTGGGATAAATACTTTGGAGAATCTCCTATTAATGAAGTTAGACCTATTCTTGGCACTCGAAATGTGAAGAATATGCAAAGACCTCTAGCTCTTAATATGATATGAATTTTTAGAGGCACATTTAATTATGATGTTCTTTTTGTTACTGTATGTGGATATATATCAGCAGAGCTGTTATAGCTAAAAGTAAATAAAGGATATAATTTACACTTCCAAAGACAAATAAGTGATATTATTCAGCTATAAGTTCACCATCACATACATGTACTAATATATCGACAAGAACCATATCTAACCAATTGATCAATTAATTAATCTTTTAACTGATGATTATCAATTAAATTCGTCAAGCAAAATTTATTGATCAATCAATTATCTATTAACTTGTATGGAAACTATATACTTTACTTAGTCACCATCACGTACATGTACTAATATATCGAGCTGTAATAATAATAATAACACGTTTGTAATTTTATCACTTGTTGATTAGTATCATTTAAAAGACCTTAAATTATTTATTATCAAATCATGTGTTATATATTAATTTTGTAATCGAATATCCGTCATATCTTCAAAGACAAACATTATATCTTCAGAGACAAATCAGTGAGATTATATATATCTTCAGAGACAAATTAGTGATATTATATATATACCTTCGGAGATAAATAAATGATATAATTTACACTTTTAAAGACAAATAAGTGATATTATTTAGTTATAAGTTCAGCATCACGTACACGCACTAATATATCGACAAGAACCATATTTAACCAATTGATCAATTAATTAATCTTTTAACTGATGATTATTAATTAAGTTCATCAAGCAAAATTTATTGATCAATCAATTATCTATTAACTTGTATGGGAACTATATACTGTACTTAGTAAGGTTCCACTTGACACTGATTTTCGTCTTTTAGTTTTATTGTTTAGTTAATATTGTTTGTTAATTTTTATCTTTCTTTTTGATTTTATTGGATAAATTTCTATGTTTTTATGTTTATTTATTTGTATTTATGTGCTTTTATTAGTTGTCAATTTATAAGTTTTTATCTTATTGTGTAGCCTTTATTATAGTTATTGCCATATTAGTGTTTTAAACGTAGTTAAAGTTGTAATTAGTTTTTAAGTATGATTCCTTTAAAAAATTGTAATGCAGAGCCCTGATGAGTGTTTCATTATTTCAATAAAATAAACATGAAACGCGTTGGCTAAATTAAACTCTGCATTCTCTTTTTATTATTTCATAAAGCACGAATTTTCAATTTGTCAAATTAAATACGACTTCATCGGTTGCTGAAAAGCAAGAGTTGAGACTAGCAGATTGATTTGTATCGGAGGGATATAGATTGATCTGTTTCTATTTGATTTACCCACACCCACACCCTTCTTATTTGATATTGGCTTACAACACTATATACGGCCAGTAAGTGTCTTCTTAAATGCCATTCATTACATACTATTTCTTTTCAAAAAACAAAAAAAAACAAAGGATCGACTCTATATAATGGGCACAAGAAATGATTTTGAATTGTGTCGACAATATGTTATGAATTATAT